ACACTTATAATATATAAAATATAATTAGTATGTACCGTACGGGAATATAATACATGGCAATTAATCTTAAAACGTAACGAGAGACTTTAACCTTCTAATAAATGCCATAATAACTAATGTGTACCTAACTAAATGTTTAACGGAAATAAGTTATGAATACTAAAACGTACCTATACAACATACCGCATACATAATAATTTATACATGTTTTTTTTATAAATAACTATATTTTTAATTATGACATGGATATATTTTAAATAGGATGCTGTATATTACATAAATTTATGAACAGCATCAACAAAACATTAAAATGTACAAACATTCTTCAAAAGTACGCGTGGGTAGGTAAGTAGCTGTAATGGCGAATTATTTCTTGGCACGGAAATTAAACTAAGTATAGATATTGCGAATCAAACTGAAAATATACTAAATCTTAATTATTGTTGTAACAGACGAATTAATTGCTAGACAACGCACATATCACACTGATTCGGTCTTTACGTCCATTTTTATATATTCAAACGAAGTAAAAAACCTATCTGAATTGATTATATTCATTTTATTCACATAATATGTTGTCCGCGATTTCATACTAAACAATTAAAAACAGTTCTCGACGACAATGCATTTGTTTGAGATTTCACTAGCCATCAAATTGTTTTTTTAATAACCATATAGGTACCTAATAATTCACCGATTGAAACGCCAATTAATGGACTCGAATCGACAAAAACACCTATAATATTATTATGCCTTATAAAACATATTTTTATTATCCTCCAACATTTGATCATTCTGGTGTGCAAATAAAAATGTAAAAGTAATGTTTCCATTGTCGAGATAAAAACTAATTGTATACACTGTTGAAAGCTTAATAGTGTTATTTGGTTTTTTTTCTTTACAATAAAACCAATTATACGTACAGAAACGAAATTAAAATCTGTGAGTAAACGTGAAAATATTATTGTCAAGTATAATTATTATGTATAGATAAATATCGAATATAAAAATATGGATCAATAACGAAAGTGTTTTTTTATTAAATTATTAATAAAAATGATTTTTTAGATACTCTCATATGATAGCCAATACAGACGTTTTTGGCGACTACTTATCTGTATCTATTACCTACTTAAAGTACTATTATTATTTCCTCATATCATATCATAAATTGCCACTCCTAGTTTACAATTAATCGTTTCATACTATTATATAACATGGAACATATGCTATATTATTTTATCAGATAATGGATTTTGTACGCTTTGTATAAACATAGTTATTATTTAAAAAAAATAAAAAAGAGTTTTAATTAAAATATGATTTTGAAGTATATAGGTACTATTTGATATTTATATTTAGCATTCTATAATTGGTTTATTTTTAACAAATAAAGAAAAATAATTTAAGGATAAAATTTCAAACAGGGATGATTAAAAATATCGAACGATACAATTTTACCTTACTTTATGCGTGTGATGTGTCTCTGGTTTATTCTTTATGTAATCCAAATGATTGATCAATACTCAATCAATGTCAATGTTTCACGTAGGCTAGACAAGTATTTGATTAAACCTGAAGATTCCATCAGTCAATTTAGAAACTATTTCGCGATATTTTGTCAACAATAATAAAATGTTACCCAAATGTTGTATATTTCTTTTATCAAGTACGTATATTACTTTTTTTTTTATATAAAACATATTTGATGTAATAAAAAAATGGAAATCGCGTTGTACTATATTGAGAATTGTGTCTTTTTTTTTATTCAACTTATGTGTTTAACATACCAAGGTCTTTAATATACCTTAGTATATCTAAAAAAAACAGTACAGTGGGGTCGGGGCACAGTGGGGACGGGGAGGTCACAGGTTTACAGGAATTTTTAAATCTGAAAGTGATAAAAACACTTTCGAAAAAGCGCTTCGATGCAAATCGATAGTTAGTATTTTCAAGCCAGTAAAGTCCAAACCAAGCACAGTATAAACCAGCAAAGTTAGAAAGTATTAAATTGACGTTCTGTATTTACAAATAAGCATCAACAGATAATACAAATTGTTTATCTCAGTGGTACTTTTGGTTAAATAAATTATGTTGTAGCAAAACCTTATTGTAAAGGTAAGGTTAAACAATTTAATTTTTATAACATGTTTAAAAAGGAGACTTATAATATCCATTTGGCTCTCATCACTTAAAATATATTTCGATTAAAATTTTTTTATTATTTTACCTTGGCGAACTTATGGCCCTAAAATAAAAAATAAAAACATATCAAATATAATATATTTCATTAATGTTTCATTCTATATTGTATATTCGGTAGGTATTCATTACATTTAAACAATTTTTAAATTACTTTTAAATTAACAACATATTTTGTTTTAAAATCTAAACTTATTTTAAAATGAATGATGGGAAACATATTTTTTTTATTTTGAATATTTATTCATTATTTTTTTATTATTATATTGGTATTAGTTATTACCAAATTTTTGGTAGCTAAATATGTTCCTTTGAAGTTTTCTAAATAAAAACAAAAATGTTTATCTATATTTTTGTTTGTTAAATTTTAAATAATATCTTAAACTAAGATATTATTTAAAATTATAGTATAACTAAGATTCTTAGTTATACTATTTACATAGTTATTGTCCCATGATGAATTTAAAATAAATGACCATACATGGGGTATATGCTGTGTCTCTACAATAAGGCGGCTATCACAAAAGAGCAGTATAGGCAATGAGCAACTAGCAATCGGTAAGTAATAGTAAGTAATTAACTGGCAATATTATCACTTATTGCCGACTGCTAGTTGCTCATTGTCTATTGCTCTGGTGCGAGAGCCGTGGAAGAGACAGTTGGGCAAATAGGACACTATTTTTGGAATTTGGTTCAGGCTTAAACCAGCGGTTGTTAGATTTTATTTATGTTCCTTTTGTATTAAGCAAGTGATAAGGAGTAGGACCATTCCACGGCCAGTGACTGCTCGATGGTCTGACTGAACAGGTTTTTGAATGAGGCATACGACAGAATTTGCCACAATGTAGATATTACTACTTTGATAGGCTGACTTTTAGGCATTGAACTTGGCCTTTTTTTCACGGTTAGCTTTTTGTTGGGCACTTGCTATTTTTTGTTTATACTCAGGTCGTGCCACAACAGTGGTGGTAGATTATTCATATTTTACTGACGAAAATTAACACTAGTATAGAGTATAGACAGAGTTAAATGATATTATTAGGATTATTAAATTATTCTGTATTCGATGATCGATAAAATATGATGTATTATAAATACCATCTCTCTCAAACGGCACTAATTTTGATAACATTGCAATTTTAAGATTTTTTCCTTTACTTACACTATAAGAACTACCTTTTTCCCAAATATCATATTTTTATCTATAGAAAAGTGCCTTACAATTTTTATGATCAGTGAGCCAGTAACGAAAATGCAAACTTTAAAGTTCTCCCTTTTTGAAATGGCATAATATTAAGGGGTTAATTTTGTACAGCGTTCTAAGTCCCTTAAGCTTAAACTACGTTTCAAATTTCAAACGCTCATCATAAGAGGAAGCAGAGATATAAGAGTTAGAAAAACCTCACTCGACAGGCCAACGCGCATAAATTATTATATTTTTGGCAATCGGTGGATAATATTTCGCTTGTATTATTTCTTTGTTGCTTGCCTGTCGACGAGCACCAGATACAAAGATGTACATTGTACATACATCTTATCTTATGTTGAAGACCCGTGTGTACAAGATTTTTGACTAGGATGGACGTACAGTGTGATGTACTAATAAAATCGTGTGTGTTTAGGTTTGGCTTAAGCTGTGTAATTGAGCCTTTTCGCGATAGAAATGTAAATAGCGGCCGTATTGTTTAGCAAACGTGACTAAAATAGTATCCAAGCAAAAATAAAAAATGTTAAAAATTAAAACTGGGTTTAGAAATTAGGGAAAATGCCGCTTGAATCCACACTAAATATTACCTATCGTGTTCACCCTTAGCTAAGCATACAAAACCCACCTACTTTTCCCTTCTGTATCTGTCACCGCCTCCCTCTCTCCACTCTTTCCCATCCTTTCAGCCCCTCCCTCTCATCGAACAGATGATTTACTTGAAGTGTTTCTACAAGAACGACCATATTATATTATGTTCATTGACATTTTGCTAATTATAATTATGATTTTCCATTTGGATTGGATTCAATTTTAACGAAGCAATACATTTTTCAAATTTTTATGGGGGCCTGTTGGTAACAGGATTACCCTTCCTAATTAATTTTATGTATATTTTTTTTGTTACAGTATATATTATACATATATATATATATATATATATATATTTTTACACACAAACCAATTAACTATTGATCTTGTAAATTATTTCTACAATGGATTGGTAAAATTCGAACACATGTGTTTGTTTTTATTTAGAAAACCCCCACAAAACAAGGGGGAAATTACCCTTGTAAATGTCTAGCTTGATCCACGTAAGTGCCAATCAACAGTCAATAGGTATTTGAAAATAGTTTTATTTGAGAAATTTGGGTAAAAACGCCAATAAATAATAATATTGACGGACCCTAACCGTATCCACACTAATGCAAACAATTAAATTTTAGTTCCTTTTTGCCTTTTACAATGTCGTTATCGATTGGTTAAGTAGGATTTTTGGATTGTATGTACAAACAAAAAATAAAATTAAAACTTTTAACTTTACCGGGTAGTCGGAGGGGGGTATAACATTTTGGGGTTTGATACAGTATCATATTATAAGGACATGTCCATACATTTTTCCGGGGTAAACTCTATAGGAATAATTATAAGTAATTGAAAATGATAAAATCACTGGCTCTATAATATTTCACAAACCGGGACGGTCGCTAGTCAACGCTATACAACTAACACTTTATAGCACTTTCAGTATTTCTTATAAAAAGTGGAAATCTTTTTTTGTTTTCTTTAGTAAAAACTTTATTTTACACGCACAATGTTCAACAAAGTTGTAAGTTCATGCCTGTTGGTAGCGGTACCCGTGCTGTGCGCGGTTGGGTATTGTATATACTTCGACCATACTAGAAGAAATCACCCAGATTTCAAGAAAAACCTAAGAGAAAAACGTCAAAAGGCGAAAAATCAATCGATCCGGACGAGCTTTTTAGCTGAGCAAAGACAATTGTTGGATACGGCTAAGTTACTAGCCCAACAACTTCATAAAAAAGACATGGCGGTAAATATAAAATTTGCGGACGCTCTGTCCACAATATTTGCTTACCCTAGTAATGAGATACAAGATGAGGCCATACAAATATTTGGGCCTATTCTGGAGAAGCACGCAGACGCCATGGAAGTCTTAGAAGGTATAGTGAATAACAAAAGAATAAAGCTTATGAAGGATCATAAAGACCTTTACGCTTTACTCGAAGCTCAGGTAGTAACGAACTAAATGTAAAGTTCTACTTTACATTACACTAAGACATTCAGGATATTTTAAGAATACAAAAAATTACAGTACATTAAATGATCAAAAAACGAAATGCTTAATAGTATCTCGAAGAGAACACATACAATATTCGCTAGTAGTTGGAGACTTAACCTTCGAAAGGGCATCAAGCTTTAAATATCTAGGAGTAGATATTAACCAACAAGCAAGTAGCCACGAAGAAATTAGCAGGAGAATAACGGCAGGAAATAAGTGCTGTTTTGCGCTTGTACCATTATTTAAGTCAAGATTGCTGTCCAAAAACAGGAAACTAAGACTTTATAAAGTGCTTATTAGACCTATAGTCCTGTACGCTTGTGGAGGAGCGTGAGCGTCAACGAAATCGTCATTCAAAATGCCAAACCGATTCAAGTGCGCTTGAAAGGCGCCCGTGTTCAGTCAGAAACTGGGTAGCAAAGTGTCGCGGGGGCTTCCACTCTGGACACAGAGTGCGACCGACCTCCGGCATGTACGTGTAGGTAACGCGGCCCTCCTGGACGGTGTTCCATCGGTCTTGCTATACCGTGTCGAGACTCAGTAAAATGTCACGGCGGCTTCGGTTTGGCTGGTTTTCAGCCCGTTTCCTGCAGTAGGAATATTCCTCAGACTTGTTGGGTAATATCATCTACTCATAGGTATTTAAATTTCGATACCTTTTTTGAAGGTTAAATGTAACATATCAATTCAACAATTATTTATTATTTTCGTTAAATAAACAATTTTTTAATGAGATACGAGTTCAATTTTAAAAAATTCTAAATTAAAAAAAAATTGAATAATTTTTTTTTGTACTCTTAAAACATCCTGAATGTCTCATACACTCACTCTGTATATATTATGCAAAATATTCCTTACAGTTATGTTTAATCGACTTTGAAAGATTTTCAGTTTTTCTCAGGTTTTTCTTAGTAACACTCGGCGTAGAAGATTATTAGGTGTTACTGTTAATAGCCGGACACGTTCGTTATCGCATATGGTAATTAAATTAGCTTGAAACCCTATCGAAGAATCGATGATATAATACGCTTTGGTTACATTTGTTGTAGCTCACTTCTTTGCTCGGCGGTACCACTTGGCGACCGACAGCTTCAGGCGGATCTACTCCATCCTTGTGGCAATCTTCTCAAGGGCTGGATTGAGAGATGGTCTCCAAGGTTTCAGTGGTCTCTCCAAGTCCAAGAACTGTCACGTCGTCGATGTCAAGAAACCCACCGGTTGTTTGTTTCCACGGCCTCATGAAGACCCCGCTTCCTAAACAGCAGAAGGACCATGGGCTTCTTCCGGACCACCGTAATTAGTTTTTTTCAATTTCTCAGGTTTTTTACCACCACCTCGAGCACTTCATTCATAATGAAATCAGGGCCAAGGACTTTACCGTAAGGCAGCCTCGTTCCTGCTACGGTGAGCTGACTTCATATCGGGCTCGAGTTGAAGGCAAGCATCGGCGTTGGATCTTCTGCTGGCCCCCTGGAATCGCCTACGAGCCGATAGAGAAGACTTCCTCAACTCGGCGACCAATGTGTTACTTTCTTCCTTCCTCGTACGAAGAACCATTCACATGTGTTGTTTTGCTTCAAAATTTAATCAACACGGATTTATCGATTCGAATCACACGTGTAAACTTAATGATGATGAGCTAACGTAGTAAAAGTTACGGGATAATTATTGTTCGGGCTAGTAATGTTTGCAAATTGAAGACTTTCTTAATAAAAAAAAAAGGAATACAAATTATTATTCGTTGTTTTTGGTGTGCATTTTTTTATTTCCGACACTTTTCGATCGAGAAAGCCATACTCATATTTCCTGGAAGACAATACATTATATTGTATCGTACGATAATTGAGTCAAGTACGAACACGCTTATATATTATGTACATATTATATTGATCATTTATCGGATTGTGATAAATTTGTATTATTTTACAATAATGTAATATTGTCTCCATAATTGGGGATATGAACCGCATCGCAACATCATTAAATACGATCCAACGTGGCCGTCATTGAGTGTACCTATGACTATATTATTGTGATTACATTTTTTTTCCTTCTGATTTTGTTATTCTGTCGGTGCACAAGTTTTCAGCCGTTCATAACGCGTGTATAATTCTCCATAACAGTACGCATATGATATGATTGTAAGAAATACAAGCGGCATCTGAACGCAACGTGTCTCCGGGGCAAACAGTAGATTATTTTGTTTTGTATAACAACAGAAAAATTAATTTGAGTTTATCCGAGAGGACTAGTACAGTAGAGTATTGGCATAATGTAATCAAAGCAATGAGGAAACGGAGAGGTCACAGGTCTACAAGAATTATTATAAATAAAAGTGACAAAATTGAATAAAAAATGGAATTTATGTAAACTTAAAGTCAAAAGTGGTAATTGAGCACAAAACTTAATAGTATCATTCTGCATAGATATACATAAAATTGTTTTAATGATTTGATCATTTTTTTTTAAAGATTTTAGGTGTTTTTGTTAAAATATACGCAATCTGCGAAAACACAGTTTTCCGGCAATTAAAAAAAACTGTAGTGCCGAATTTGTCACCCGTTTAATATGTTATGGATACATATGAGTTCCAAATACTGGCAAATTTTCAACCCAAAAGTTTTAAAATTACGGCTAAAAACGCCGAAAAACAAAAAAAACTTGTACCCCCCCTAGGGGGGTGGGAAATGGGTATAAGTTAAATTTGACACAACTGTCGTGTGCGGGCATACCAGATAAATATTTCTTAAACATTTCAACTCGATCCGACTCTTTTTCTCGAAATTATAGCCAGTAAAAGTTCTAACTTAAAAACTCGTACGGTTTTTTTTTTGTTTTTTCAACTTTCGTCTGTGAAGAATTAAACTTTTTCAACTTTTACCCCCCAAAGTACCGACTAGATGAAATTTGTGATTTATAGAGTTGCTACTCGAAGGAATTGGTCCAGTATTAAAAAAGTTACAGTGTATACAGATAATAAAAAACACACATCAGAGTAAAACCAATACCTTCTCGCTTTGCATCGAAGCTAAAAATAGATACATGTTATTGTGCTGTAAAGTGAATTTTAAGAAAAAGTTAATCCGTCTTTTCTATAAAACGCAATATAATAAGCTGAGTTTATCCGGCTTCGCTCAAAAAAAATTGTATGATCCATTTTATTGTCAACAGATTTACAGGTGTATACGTTGTCTTATAACCTTTAATATTCTCGGTTTAAGGACTATGCACAGGTATACGATAATATATGATTTTTAAAACGTTTAATTAATATAGGTATTATATGTTTTTCAAAAAACACGTTTATCTAGATGTAATTTTTTTTATATAATTTGTATACTAGTTAAATATATGAACAGTTTTTTTTATGTAATAAAATTTACCATATTTTTAAATCGTTTGAATTATATTAACGATATTTTTTTTTTTTTTAACTTATTATATATTTTTTTTTATAGAAACTTATGCAGTCAACAAATTTTTTCTATTTTTATTAAAAAAAAAAAAAAAATCTGTAGAATTTCGACAAAATGATTTTACGTCTCATTGTGTCAAAGTTTGAAACTTGAAATTAAAGTTGATTAAATAATAGTTTTTGTATTAAAAAGCTTTACCGGGTGATTATTGTAGATTTTCTGGCATACATAAACTTAAATCTCTCATTAATTTTCATTTGGTCTCCCCTCCCTAACTAATTTTATTGCCGTTAACTTTTGACTTCCAAATAATGACGGATAATGTGTTTTATGTGTATGTATGTAACACAAACCTAAAAGTGTAGCACTAAAAGTATTAAGAACAGAGAATCTGTGTGACGAACACCTTATGTCTAGCGCAGCAAAATCTTTATCTTTGGACCATTACGAAAATACAAACTACCTATTTACATACGAATCTTGGAAGCGGTAAAACCGGTTTCTCTGTTATTGTAATGAAAATGTTTAAATCACTGGCCAGTTGAAATATATATATATGTATATGTGTATACACCAATACAATGTATTGAAAACCTGTGAACAGTATTTGTGTTATTTATGATTAGATTATTACTTACTGGTTTATTTATACACTCGATAGTCGATTGTATGTTCATGTATAATATAATAATTATGCGATTGTTGAGTGTTGAGTATGAAAAATGAATTTTTCAAACTTGATATTATTAATATTACATATTCGAGCGTATAGAAAAAAAAACTCGTCGTTTAAATAGGTATACCTACTATGAGTTTGATACAGCTTTTCTCTGGTTCAGTTTTTTTTTTTAAGTTAAACACAAATAATAAAATATACCTATAGGGACAAGAGTCGACGCTGACGTTATTATCTTTCCATGCAAGATTAAAATCGAACATAACTATTATATTTTGCACCAGTCTTTGTATGCTAAAAAATCTTCATCGCCGAGTATTCTAACAATGGATAATAAATTGACAGGTTGAACATATTATTTTGATTACATCCCGAGAAAAATAACAGTTTTTCTAGAGTCTTATATGAGGTCTCGTCTATAATATAACATATTTATTAACTATAGCGATGGCGAGTGTATCTAGTTCATCTAGTTTTAAAAAAGTGGACTGCGCCTTCCAAAGAACACAGTCAACCCTTGAAACGTTTTTAAAATCAACGAAAAATGTCAATAGAAATAGAACAGTGAAGGTAAGTAATTTCAATATCAATATCAGTTATCATATATACTAATATTATAAGTTTGTATAAAAAAATGTTCTCTATGAGATTCACAACAAACTATACTCGATTTCTCTCCAACAACTTTTAGTCCTCGGACCTCTTTTTTTGTTCATCAGTTCATTTCATTATGACTATATCAAACCACACGCTTAATAATTAAAATTATAAGTCTACGAACTTGAGTGTTATATTGCTGGTGAGTAGTACAAAAAAAAAAATATCTATACCACTTTTTTTCCACGTCTCGGTATAAAAGTAAAAAGATATGGAAA